CCTTAAAATTTATTTTATATTATTTATTAAAAATATTTAAATAATTTTACATATAGTCCACCTGTAATTACAATATTTTATTATAACAATTAATTAAAAAATATAATAAATACATATTTAATCTATATTAATAGAAGCACTTAGTACTTATTAACTAATGACTAATGTTATTGAAAAAGCGAGTATTTCCTTCCTTTAAACAGTTTCGAAACTGTTTCCTGACAAAAAGTTAAAAAAAAAAAATCTATATTGACAGAAGCTAGAAAAACATGCATAAACAAAAGTGCTCAAATTAATATGGGGGCGAAAATGATAAATAATTAAGTAGTAGATATTTATTGATGGAAAGGAGTGAAAAATTAAAAAAAAAAAAATCCAAACCATTGAGTCCAGCCCCGGAGCCACCGAGGAACTCATAGCTTCACTGACAGGCATCAAGGTGCTGTCTATCTCCTCCGACCACCGGCAACGGTCATCTCTGGAGTTAATATCAACCAGGTAACTTCTCTTTTCTTCTACAATCGTTAGATATAAACCGTTTATCTGCAAGCAAATGATGAACCAGTCGCTGAGAAGGTAGGCAAAGAAATTCAGAAACTTGGAATTGGGAATTGGGAATTCGGAATTCAGACTGTTAGCAATTTACCCAGAAATGAGTATTTCGGCTTCTGCTTTCTTAATATCTTCGTCTTTGTTGTTGTTTTCTCTACAAGATTGTGTTTTTCCATTGAGTTATGGCTCTGATTCTCATGGGTTAGGTCTTAATAATGCTCTTCAATATGGGTTCCTTTTCATTTGGGTAATTAAGCTTTCTAGTTTATTCAGTAATGTCTGAAAGCCCATTTAACTGAAATGATTTTCCTTTCCAGTGTTTGAGGTCTTGACTTTGCGTATTCAGGCCATTGGGATAATTGTTGTTCTGATTGTTGATTGTTGCTGTATATTGGGTCTACTGGTCTGCGCGGACTCTGTGACTTCAAAGACACTAAAGTGATGAAGATAAGAAACTGTGCTGGAATTACAAATCCGAGTTTTTTGTTAGTGCATCCAGAGTCACTTGCTCTTCACTGTCATAAATTCCAGTTAATCTTGAGTAACAAGAGGAGGTCTGGGTTGTTTGCAAGGTTTCGGCACTCTGCTTCAGCTAGAACCTTTGCATCTGCATCTGTGTCCAAACCAGACACTGTTCAATTGCATAGGAAACATGGCAGTTCCTCCTTGTATAGTCGTCCTAGTTTAGTAGAGATGAAAAATGAGAGGATAGCAAATCGTGCCAAGGTTTATCAGTTCTTGCAAGGACTTGGTATTATTCCTGATGAGCTAGATGGGCTTGAACTTCCTGTCACAGTTGAGGTTATGCGGGAACGAGTGGATTTCCTGCGCAAATTGGGGCTTACAATTGAAGACATTAACAATTATCCACTCGTTCTTGGTTGTAGTGTGAAGAAGAATATGATTCCTGTGCTGGACTATCTTGGAAGATTAGGTGTTAGGAAATCCACTTTCACTGAGTTCTTGAGAAGATACCCTCAGGTCCTCCATGCTAGCGTTGTTGTTGACCTTGCTCCTGTGGTCAAGTATCTTCAAGGGCTGGATATCAAGCCAAATTATATTCCTCGGGTTCTTGAGCGATATCCAGAAGTCCTGGGTTTCAAGCTTGAGGGTACTATGAGCACATCAGTGGCATACTTGGTTGGCATTGGGGTTGCAAGAAGAGAAATTGGTGGGGTTTTAACTAGATATCCTGAGATTTTGGGGATGCGAGTAGGCCGTGTGATCAAGCCTTTTGTGGAGTACCTTGAAGGCTTGGGTATCCCAAGATTAGCCGTTGCTAGATTGATTGAGAAGCGGCCTCATATCCTTGGGTTTGAATTGCAAGAAAGGGTGAAACCAAATGTTGAATCCCTTTTGGAGTTTGAGGTTAGAAAAGAAACACTTCCATCTATAATAGCACAGTATCCTGAAATTATAGGAATTGATCTTAAGCCAAAGCTTCTTGGTCAACAGAATTTACTTTGGTCACTTATTGGTTTGTCTGCTGAGGATTTTGGCAGTGTAGTTGAGAAGATGCCACTTGTAGTGAGCCTCAGTAATTCTCCAATGATTAAGCATGTTGATTTCCTCAAGGACTGTGGGTTTTCCTTGCAACAAGTGAGGGAGATGGTTGTGGGGTGTCCCCATGTGCTTGCTTTGAATCTGGACATTATGAAACTCAGCTTTGATTACTTCCAAACGGAGATGCAAAGGCCTCTAGAAGATTTGGTTGCTTTCCCAGCATTCTTTACGTATGGTCTTGAGTCCACCATAAAACCTCGTCATAAGATGGTTGCAAAGAAGGGTTTTAAATGTTCTCTCTCATGGCTTCTTAATTGCTCTGATGAGAAGTTTAAGGAGCGGATGCGCTATGACACAATTGAGATGGAAGAGATGGAAACAATGCCTTCATTTGATATGAATTCTTTGATGGAACCAAGAGGTGATGAGTCTGATTCTGAATACGAGGAAGACAGTGATGATGATGAGCAGGTATAAAACAACAGGTCAAATTCTGGTGTTGCTCTGCAGTAGAGAATCCTTGCCTTCTCAAATCGTGTCATCATATAGAGAAAATTGATGCAAACTTTCTTTCTAAGGTCTTAATTTTTAATCAGTCATGTTATTTATTTATTTATTTCTTTTTGTAGAAGTCCTGAGATATTGAATGTTAGAAGAAAGTTAAAATATTCTTGAAATGTTCCCAAGGGGATGTGTGTCAATTAAGGGTTTAAAACATTGAACTGGAAACTTAAGTCGGACATTGAAAGAGGAGGGGTATTTGTTAATGTTGCATATAATCAGACGTGCCTAACCCAAGGGTTAGCTTTAATAGTAAGCAAGTATTTAGGTTCAGGATTCAAGCCTTGGACTCAAGAACAAAATTTTCTCCAAAAACATCCTGACTATTTAAACCAAAAAAAAAAAAGAAAAAAAGAGGAGAAAATCGTATGTAGTTGAAAACAAATGAACAAGCCCTATGCATAAATTATCTGCAGGAGATTCTTTATTGTTATTTTGTTACTAAATTATTTGTCTAATTTCAATGAAAGGTTGGTCTAGGGTCAAAGCCCTTAACACTTAATGTGATGAGAGAGTCACTTAAAATTTGAATGACATTTTTTTGAGAAATAAAATTTGAATGATATTGACAGCTTCCATGAGAATGGAATGGGGTGTTCATTTTCCACTACCATGTTTGGCAAAAAGAACGAAATGACATTGAGTTATTTTAGGCTTATTATGCTTTTATAATGACATTTGAAATTAGGGTGGCATACTTAAATGATTTGATAATAATTTAATCTTTAATTTGAATTTTTGAAACAATTTTCCTTTTGATTAAAAATAAGAAAATGATGTGTGCACACCTGGATTCAACACTTGGGTGTGCATACTCCGCATAAAAATAAAAAAAAAAGAGAACACCTGATCCATTTTTTATTTTTTTATGTGGAGTGTGCACACCCGGGTGTTGAATCCGGGTGTGCACCAATCATGGTCCTTAAAAATAATTTATATCTGATTCTTTCTTGTTATTCTTGATTGACCTAAGTGATTTTTCAAGTCCTCAGGAGTTTCTTTTTATTTATTTATTTTGTAAGAATATTAGACCATTTTAAAGAGAACTTAAAATTGACAATTATATTAAATATTCCATACATGTAATAATGTAAAGATACTAACTCTTTAAATTAGTTGACAATATTGAGAGGTATTCAAAGTTATATGAAATCTATATACATTTTACTTACTTGATATGAGATTTTCTCAAAGTGAGTTACTTATAGAAACCCTAGTTTATTATTGTTTACTTGTCTTATATGATGTTTAAACAATTCAATAGTATTTAAAAAAGAGCGAAAAATTCACTGGTTAAGATTGGATCTAGTGTGTCCACTGAAGAGTTTAGGCATATTAGGATTTTGGGATTTTCACGCTTTTAATCTTGCTATGCTTGCAAAAACAAAGTTGTCGACTCATGCAGGACCACTCGTCTTTATGTTATCAAGTTCTCAAAGCCAAATATTTTAAGAATGATGATCTGTTTGGAGCTAAATTAGGAACAAATCCATCTATGGTGTGGAGAGGAGTCATGGTTGGCCTTATCGTTTTAAAAAAGGGCTCACGTTGGTGGATTGGAGATGGACCTTTTGTGCGTATCTGGAGGGACCAGTGGATTCCCGATATTGATGTGCTTTCAAATATTAATGAGGATAGATCTCTTGCAAAGGATGCTAGAGTAAGCTCACTAATTTATTCGAGTGCTTGCCAGTGGGATTTAATGAAACTCGAGCAGGTGTTTTCAAGTGACATTATAGAGAAAATTACACATATTCCATTGAGTAGGCAGTGTAGGCATGATTGTTTAATTTGACAACATATTGCAAATGGAAGATTTACAATGAAATCTATATATGGATACACATGGGATGCTGTTTATGGGTTGAACTTCAACAATTTTAATGATCTTATGAAGCTGGTATGGAAAGCTATGTGGTTATGGATACATTGCCAAAAATTAAGCATTTTCTTTGGAAATTTATCTAGAAAATTTTACCAACTCAAGTGGCTTTGCAGGGCCAGGTGTGGAAGTTGTTAACTCTTGCTGTATTTGTGAACAAGCTAAGGAATCTATGTACCATTTATTTTTTAGCTATCATTGGAGTACACAAGTTTGGACAGGTTCTTGCCCTTTCTTCAACATTAGTAACATTAGGGGTGACCCTTACTTAGATGACTTCTTGAATTCTTTTTTGGCGGTCAACAACAAAGAGAGGGGGAACGTGTAGCAATCACACTTTGGAGGATCTAGAACAATAGGAACAGTTGTTTGTTTCAGCATAGATGCTCACAACCTGGATCTATTGTCACTTGGATCTCAAAATACATAAAGGAATATACCATAGCAACTGCAATTGATAACCAAATCAAGTTGTTGAATGAAAGTGCCTCATTAGATGTTTGGCAACCACCAGAGGGGGATATAGTTAAAATCAATGTTGATGCTACTGTTCCACAAAACCAGAACTCAGTTAGTTTGGGAGTAGTCCTCCAACAAACGTGATCGTAAGGTATTAGGGGCTGCCCTACGCATATGCTCTTTTAAGGGATTGGTTCTTCAAGCAGAGGAGATGGCGATTGATTTTGCACTGCAAGTGGGCAAGGAATTTAGATATAAGAAACTGGAAATTGAATCTGATAACATGTAGGCGATAGCTATTGCAAACTCTATTGATGATTGTTATCTTCCTTTTGGTGCTATTGTTGAAGGCCTCTGAGCTCGAAAAGCTGGTTTCGATTCTCTTTGTATCAAGTATGTTAGGAGAAGCTACAACATTTTGACTCACAAACTAGCACATCTTTTCTTAGCTTCTCCAACTTGGGAGGGGGTATGGGTTGATTCTCTACCCACTTCTTTATGTAATGATTTGACTATTGAGCAGTAATATATTCCATTTATCCAAAAAAAAAAAAAGAAAAGAGAAGAAAAAATGTATTGTGCAATATGAGCGGTAGTCAATTGCATAATTTTAACTATTAAATAAAGATAAATCCCTTAATATTGTGAGCTTTTCTTCATAAAATAGATCATATTTTGCAATCCAAACTATGAAACAGTAACTATTAGTAAAATACTATCTTCCCAATATATAGATTTCTTCTAAATATAGTTTATTGATCGGAATGGCAACGGCAAGGAGTAAACGGGGAAAATTCATGGTATTCACGGTCATCCTTAACGCAATTGCAATAGCAAAATGAGTAACTTCTCAATTCTTTCAAAATTGTGATATCAGAACAACTGAAACTGCACTAGTGGATCCCTGAAAAACCAAAATAAGTGATATCTGTTAGTATCACAAGGAAGGAACCAAAGCAAACAAACCTGTACCCATCCGTTTTGCCCTTACATTTCTAAATAGACACAGCCTCTTCAATGGAACCCAACAGCTGTAAAATGAAGTTCGAGTACAATGGTTTCTATCCACCATTGTCAGTTTATGTACTAGGATTTGTCAGCCAAGCTTGACACAAACTACTTCAGGGAAAAATGAACTTACAGCAGACCAAAAATTTCAGAGGGAACATTTCATCAGAAATCCAAGAGGATCAGGCTTCCAACCTAGTGCTACAACAAAAGTTCAATCCACAAAAAACCTCAACAAGGCAATCAACAAAAATAGTTCTTTTATGATTATATGATGAGAAAAATTTGAGTTGAGCTCAGACACCAAAGCGACAAGGTTCAAAGTTTGGCAGAAGGATAAGCCTAGCTGTCCTGTTATATGATGAGAACAATTCCATACATGGCACACCTAGATGGAAGAAGGTTAAGCCTGGTTGTCCTGTTGAGGATGCATGCTGCTGGATCATATTCCCTATTCTGTTTTCTGTAGCCACCCTAACTGCAGAAGTATGCATATTTCAATGAGTAAAAATTTAGCCCATCAAAACAATAACCTTAATTCAGAATACTTGCAGCAGTTAACATACCTTCCATGCATACAGCCCAAAGAAGGCAACAGTGTCTGCTGACCAGACAACGGAAAAGGACTTCCAAAAGAAGGGAATTATAACATTGACCAAGGGAATGAGCAGAAAAAGGTAGTTAAGAGCTTCTTTTTCATTCTTTGAGCAGTCTCGAGCACGGAGGGAAGGAATTGCTGCAAATAGATAAGAATCAAACGATATTCAATTCCATGGTAACTGGAATATGAATACCAAAAAAATGTAGTTTCTCTAAATCAGTTTGGCAGGGTGTATTACAGCATTGTGATATTGTATCAGTGCCAAGGAGATGGCAATGGTTTTGCAGGTTTTGGAAGAGAAGAAATTTGAGAAACAGAACCTTGAGTGTGGCTTTTGCAGTAACCATTTACCGCATTTGGTGTGATCCTAATCAGAGAAGTTTTGGAAACAGGAGTTATAATTTTGAGAGTTTAACTTGGGTTATCCAGATGTATTGAGAATGAGCTAAGCACATGATAGTTAACCAGATATGCCTAATAAAACATTGTAATCGCCCATTTGGGCTCTACTTAATGATTTACCATTCCACTCCCCCACCCCCCCCAAAAAAAAAAGAAAAAAAACCAAAAAATAAAGATACTTGCTACTCTAGATAATTTACATATATCTTGAACTCTAGAGCATGCTATTGCCATGAAGCATTCATCAAGACAAAAAACTAGAAATATTCGCCACTCCAGATCATTTAAATGAATCCTGAACTCTAAACATGCAATTGCTGTGAAACCTTCATCTAGAAAAGAAATTAGAGATGTTACAAGAACTTAACAGGCTCACTTCAAATCAAATATCAAACAGTCTAAAACATGCACACATGCTGGAATGATGATTGATGAATGCAAAATAAATGATCAGCTGTTTGAGCAAATAACCTGGATGATTATTCGTGACTAAAAAGCGTTGGAAACAAAAGTTCATAATCAAAAGAAAAACAGTGATGGTATTGATAGGTATGCTGATTACACAAACTTTATTTTCAAATGAGAGAACAACTAGAATGATGCCATTTTTGAGCTTTTAACTAACAGAAGGATAAGCCAGTTACAAAACAAAATGAAAAAGGAAGGGAATCAATAATCATTGACAAGTTTCACACGGTTATACTTAAAGAGATGAAAGCTTCGGGAGAGCATACTCACTGAACATCCAAATGGACCACATCCCCATTAATCTCCAAATGTCCGGTTCATTAGAAGGAAATATGAGATTGAAAGATAAAGCTCCACCTAGCAGCATGGAGGCATAGCCTTGAACCTCAAAGACAGTATACAAGGCAGTTCCCGGCACAGCAGGATTTTTAGAAGTTTTGGAAGCTCTCGGTGCAAAGGTTGCAGCAGTTTTTTGAACAACCTGATTTGGAGAAGATAAAAATGATATCAGATAATTTCAGCAACTTACTTAGAGAAGGATTACCAGTTTATTTGTATTTGAAACAGAAAAACAACATAAATTATTTAGCTTTTGCAATTTTAAAAGATTATTAATTCTGATAAACAATTCTAATTTCACATATTTCCATATAACATTCCATATTTAATATTTTCCTAGAAAATTCATTGCTATAAAATAAGATTCAAGTATTCAACAAAGAAATTAAAAAATTTTCCACAGCTGAAAGCCCTAAAATAGTCCGAATGAAAAAACATGCTGAAGAATTTGATTATACCAACTGGGGATTTGCAAAAACAGCTGAAAATGCCAAATTTCAAATCCATGCTAAGGTAAATGAACAAAAAGCCGACCTTTTTGAGGTCCTGGTCTAGTGCTGCAGTAGCAGGGGATGGAGTGGAACCGGAGATGTTGCTTGCTTTATTGGGTTTTGCTTCTAGGTTCCCAACTTGGGTTTCCTCCACTGTCTCCGTCTGTGTATTCGCTTCATCTGCATTGACACGAATCTTCAAGCTTCTGCTCCCAAATTTGGGATTACAGATGAAATTCGAGACGGTTAGAGGCAACTTGGAAATCCTACGGTAGCAGAAGGATGTTGGGATCAACGAGTACATTTTGTTGATCAATCAACAAACCCTGGAATGGATTCAATTCTCATTGAAAACCAGGAATCGCAAAACGGGGAAAGAAAAAGGATAGATAAGGAATGGAAGGTGGATTTGGCGCCACAAGTTCCTTCAAACGACGCCGCTCCTGCTGGAGAATGCCCGAATCCGACCCGTTCTGAAAAAAACCCGACCCCGACCAGCCTGTGTGCGTAAAATTTTTCTTGGATCGGGAGCATTAATTTTCATAATTTTTAAAAAAAATAATATAATAATAAAAAAATCCATTTACTTAATTTTCACATACCCTATTTATATAAAATTTTAATAATTTATTTTTTTAATTTTAATAATTAAGATTTATTATGATTTAAAAAAAAACTATTATTAATAAATATAAATAAATTTCAATTATTAAAAATAGACAAATAAATTATTAAAATTTTATATAAATACATTATAATTATATAAAATTTATGTGTAAATTAATACCTATTCTAATAACAATAAAGTTTGGATTATTAAGCATGATTAACATTGAAAAGTTGTCACTCTTATGAGGCAAAAGCAACACAAAAGCACCATTTTGGTCCAAACACCTTCCATGGCAAGGCTTGCCTACCAAAATGAAATGTTGGAAACAACTTCCATAGCAATTCATCATACACAAGATAAAAGAACAACAATAAAAGAGACTAATAACATGATATGAGTAATGTCATTTAAAATATTAAAAAAAATTTATATTACTTAATAATTATTTTTTGACTTTATTAGAACCTGTAATATCATATGCCAGCTCATTTAATGGCATGAACTATGCTAAATCATTGGTCTTAAATTTTTATTCTTTGTGTTATTAAACCTAACAATTTTTGGCTCAACCCACTAACTCGCCCATCACTCACTCATTTAAAACAAGTTTAGATTAGATATTCATGACTCTAACTCATTAATGACCCGTTTTGAGAACCTGATTGGTCATGGGTCAATAATGGGTTGACCCACCGAGTCAATAGGCTTGACTTGTTTGCTTGTCTAATAATTTAAAATTTTTAAATTTATTATTTATTTATTTTGTTTTTCAATTTCAAATCCCAACTAAAATCCCTAATAATTGACTAATTCTCTTTAATTGGCTAATTGATTCTCTGTACTCATCATCTTCTAGAAGCAAAATAATCTCACTCCACTCATGACTCACCTCATGACCTTTCCTATCCTTGCTTGCTTTAATACTCTTTAAAACTCTAACTCTTCAAAGTTCAAACTCTTCTCATAGTCTCCAAACTCCATGATCCATGTAGCCTTCGACTTTCAAACTCTAACTCCACCTTTTCCCTTTAATCTTTAACATCATCTTAGACTCAGATCTCAGTCTCACTAAGTCATTGTCACATCAACTCAACCTCTCCTTTCTTTTCCCTTCAAGCTTGACAAATACTTTTTTTGACACTTACTTTTCTCTCTAAAGCCTTCAAAATAGGTTGTTTACTTGTTTATGCTTTTTAGTTTTCTCTCCATTCCAAGTAGTTTTCTCCCTCACTTACTTAGATGCATTCAATTGATTGATTCTTTGAAAGCAATAACCTGAACAAATCCATTCCAATATGAGTTATGTTTTTTGGTTGTCATGCTATTGCTTTTTTGTTTTTTTTTTGTTTTTTTGCTATTGAGATTTATGAGTGCGTAGTGTTCTTGAATTTTCTTTTCTTTTTTGTTCCTAAATCATGACTTCACTTATTTGTACTTGACAGCCTTCTTTGTATAGTTTTGGCACTATGAACTTTGTTAATTGATAATGTTAACTTTTGGATAAATTATCAACGTATGTATCAAGGACTGAAGTCATTGCTCATTTTTCTTTTCATTTTAAGTTTTATGTCATATTGAAATAATGCAGCCAATTGAATTTTAAAAGCTATTATTAGTAGTTTCTTGAGATGAGATCTTTATTCTACTTGTGCGTGCTTAGCTAATTTATGTGAAACTTGATGTTTGAATGTTAATTTTTAGATTGTGAAACCATCCAAAATAATTTTGATAGTAATATGTAAATACTACAGAAAAAAAGAAAAGAAAAAGTAATTCAATTTGATCAACCTACCTGTGATGGATGGGTTTGGGTCAACATTTATTAACTCATAATCCGTTTTAACCCAGCCCATTCTAACTTGAGAGTCATCCTAACCCAACCCTAACCTAGCTCAGCTCACCTATTTGCCATGTCTATGTATCACTACTCAATTTATAATCATATCTTGTCATAATTTAACAACTCAAGTGATAATTTTCTTTTAATAAAAATAAAATTTTATTTTTCAAATACAACAAATAAGCAAAAGAAATTAAGAATTTAAAATAATAAAAAAATAATACTAACCTTTTCATAATAAAATTAAAAAGTATTTAGTTTGAATCATACCATATTTATATAAAAAAGTAAAATTATGCTCCCGCCTAATTGTCATGTCAAGCTTCTTACTAGAAAATAAAAGAGAAGCAAGAGTTTTCCTATTGAATTTGAAATGTTAATTAGAGTTCCTAAAGGGAAAAATATATATATATATATATATATATCGCAAACCAATTAAATTTTCCTTAAAAATCTAGCAGTTCTGTATTTTGTAAAATCTTTAATCCCATCGCCTAACTTAAGAAGAAGAAAATCAGAAAACTTTTCCGATCATACTCCGATCAATCAAAATGAAAAAACCGGAAATCATCAACTCTACTGTCTCTGGTCCGTCGGGATCATAGGACGGTACATGCTTTCGTTCATCACTTGTCCTCCTATCCACGATATCTTTATCTTACCGTCTTCTGACTCTTCTCTGCGGCACTGTAAAACACGCCTCCACTCTGGCCGCTGCCCCTCCACCATAGGGACCGGCACCGAGAAGATTCTCAACCGTCCGTTGCTCCACTCCCTTATCAGCTTGAATCTTGGCTGTCCATTGGGATAAAGAGAATCCAATAGTGGCAGGGATTTGATCGGCTTCGGTTTGGCTTCGAACGGAGTTGTCGACGTTAATGATTCCAACTTCAGATCGCCGTTTTCCTTGTTCTTCGTCGTGCTTTCCAAGCCTGAGCTCTCTGTTAACGCTTCGAGTTTCTGTTTCTCCTCTCCAGCAGCGCCAACAGAACCGTTTTCTCTATAATCACCGGTCATGGCAGCATTCATCCCCGTCTCCACAGGTTTGTAAGAACTAGTAAGAAAAAGAAACAAGATTATGTCGATCGAGGAGTACTGATGATTCTTTCTCCAACGTGAAACCTATTAAAAGTTCTAAAGGCCTTATATAATAGTGGAAGTTTATGAGCATATACTAATTCATTAATGTAGTACTTTCTTTTGTCACTAACGATTTATTGGTCCGAATGAAAAGAACTCAATTTTTTTTAAATAAAATCTTGAGTTTGAGTATTGTAAATAAAGAACAAGCATAGTCACCAGGAGAACTTCCTCGAAATGAGATCCGACGCGACTTGATTCTTGATTAGTCGGAATTCAATGTGATTATCAGATATCGAGAGATTAGTACAAAAAATGTAATATTTTCCTTGCAAAAAAAAAAAAAAAGATTAGGATTCTATTAATGCATGTATGTGTATCCTTTTGGCTGTTTAATCTTTTCGTAAATTGTATTTCAAATCATTTTAGTATCCAAACTAAAGGTAATTGTATATAAGTCTAGACTTTATGTATTATCATAAATACTAAGTTATTTTTTAGATATTAAATTGTATAATAAAACATAATTTTTATTCTTACTTACATACATATATATACACGTATACATTCTTACAAAATCTCTTATTGAGAATTTAACAATAAATTGGTTTTACCAACACTAAAGAAATTAATTCCCTTAAAAGTTATATGCAATTATGAATTCGATGCAAAGATATATCTTTAAAATTAATTAAAAAAGTAATTTCAAAATACATAAAAGTTAATCTAGTAACATCCTAGCAGTAATAAAAAAAAAAAAAAACTAAGTAGGTTGTTAACAACACTTTTTTTTTAATATAGACACCTTTTTGTACGAATTGTAATATTTTATATAACTTAAAAACAGAAATTATCTAAAGATTACTAATGAATAATCATGAAGTGAGTTTTATGGAATGATATTATTATCATATATTCAATTATTAGTGTCATATTTTTTATTTTAATTAATTATTATATTTTTT